CCAATAGAAACTTACACTTTTTCATAGCATTTACTGTATGTGTAAGTATTTGTTTAATATTCTGGAAATGGAGATATCCATCTTGTCCATGAACGTGTCTTCAGCAACTAGCAAAATGCCTAGAAGATAATACCTTCTTAAAAGTGTATTTGGCGTCTGACTATTCACTAAAATCGTCACCATCCTTTTCAGGTTTCATCATAAATGCAATTGGGTTTGTTGGTCTCTCACAGACTGAAGACTTGACAACTAGCCTCAGAACAGTCTATTTTTCCAATTGCTATAATGATGTTTTCATATATTATTTAAAATACAACTGGGTAAGGGCATATGATAAAACAATCTTTGATAGTGAACTTTCGTTCCCCAAATAATGTTCTTCCCCTCAGTGGGCCCAGTCACATAATATGCAGAGTAGTTTCTTGAAGGTGAGGCATCTTCTAGCTTGAACCTAGAAGGTGCATTCCAGTCTCTTATCAAAAGCATTTTTTGAGTAGGTCTCTTATTGATTTATAAGTTTTTCCAACTGTAGCATACAAAAACCACCCAATAGCAAAGAGAAATGCCATTTTAATTCATAGATGTTGATGATGAGCATTGGTTGACACTCACAGAGTTTAACTTTTTTTCACAATGACTACATCTCAACCTAATTTATTGCTTTAAAATTACAATTGAAAATATTTTTTAAGAAGTACCTATAGTTATAGGCAAGATTTTGGGAAATGAGTTATTGGATTGCTTTAATCTGTGGTGCTGCCATAACAAGTACAACATGAAGTGAGTTGTTTAAATGACAAACGTTCATTTCTCCTAGTTCTGGAGGCTGTGAAGTTCAAGGTCAAGGTGCCTGTAGATCCGATGTCTAGTGAGAGCCCACGTCCTGGTTTGCAGGCGGCCGTCTTCTAGTATCCTGGTGGAGATTAGGGAGAGAGGGGCAAGCGCTCATTGCCACGTGATGGTTTTAGGAGGGAGGGCCTTTGGGAGGCGACTGCATCATAAGGATGGAGCCCTTATGAATGGGATCAGTGTCCTTACAAAAGAGGCCCTAGAGCTCTCCTGCCCCTGCTACCACTGAGAAGATGGCTGTCTAGGAGAAAGCTGGTTCTTTCCAAACACCAAATCTGCCAGTACCTTGATCTTGGACTTCTCAGCTCCAAAACTGTGAGAAATAAATTTGTGTTGTTTATAATAATCCGTCCGTTCTAAGGTATTTTGTTATAGCACCCCAAATGGACTAAGACAGTTCAGTATAGTGAATTTCTTTCAAAGAGTTGAGCATAGGTTTTACTTATACAACCTCATCTTTCAAAAATTGTTATCATTTTAAAAATGTGTATGAAAATGTACTTGTAACTGATAAAATGAAAGCAGTTGCCACATCATTTGTTAATGGGTATATATTAATAGAAAAGATGGGAATTAACATCTCAGCGAGAAAGACCGAATTCCAACTAAGTATGGAGGGAAGAGTACATACTTGAAAGTGTATTTACTGAGTCTATTTTCAAGTGTGAGATTCATGAAATTCAAATGTATTTATGAGCATGTAAATACATTTACACCTACCAAGCATTATCACATGTTGTTATCACTGGTGCAACCCTTGTTTTAACCACTGTCTACTACTGCAGGGCCTTAAGTGTCATTGATATTGTCATCCAATGTGGTTGAGGTGATCCCAGGATGAGTTGTGTGTGTTCAGTACTGTGTCATCTGATGACATTTGCCAATTTCCTTTGCTCTTGTCCAGGTCCCGTGAGGAGTCATCTCCCTGATGTCCCCACGGCTTGCTAAGCTTCATGCAAATATCTCACTGTGGACACTGCTGTTGGCGAGTGGGGGAAGGCTGAGGCTCCTCACTGAGATCCTGCCTTCTGATGGCATCACCAGAAATCTCCTCTGCTGAGGCAGCTGACACATTGGACACCTCGAGCTACACACTGAATCCCGAAGGAAAGTGTTCCAGGCTCTTCTATGCTACTATCTCCACTGTCTTTCTCCCCAAGGAGGAGTAATCTTCTCTTTAAAGAAACTAAAAATAAAAATGGAAGCTCTTCTAGGCATAGTTTATTTCTCCTTCTGTCCAACCAGACTATCAGTGAGGTAGTGCAGCCAAAGAGTCACTGAGTCATTCTCCCTCCCCTTGGATCCTGTCTTTGTGACCCATTGGCTTCAAGATCAGAGTTGCGGCCAATTGGGATTTAGGCAGGAAGGCAAACACTCGCTCTTAGTTCTTCTCTCTGAGTCCTTCTCTTCTGGCCTTGTGGAGATGCTTTGACTCAACCTGTCATTCTGTTGTAGTAGTAGAAGCTGAAACTCAAGTTTAGATTAACAGGACGCTCTGCTCCTTGGCCATTCAGCACAACATGGTTACAATTTAGCTGGGGTGAATGGGTACTCACTGCTGCCCGGGTTACAACGGTTCTGCATTAACACCCAGGCTCAAAGCTCCAGTGAGTGATGTCATATTTGTATCACCAGCATTTATCTTGTGTTCATTTTGAAACCAAGAGTCTAGGAAGAAAAATAATTCAACGGTGCTAGCTCAAGTCCTCCAAAAGTCAGACTCTCACACAGGATTAAGCTTGCAAGGATTTTATTAGAGGAAATGTCTGTAAGGAAGAACATAGTGTGGGGAGAGGGCCGGTCAGTCCATGAGGGAAATCTGACCCCCGTGAAGGAGAAAGGAAAGGGAGATTGGACAGAGCACCTGGACTGTCGTACAGTTTCGAGGAACCTCTGCAAAGCTGTCAGGGCCTCCTCAAAGCAGTGCTTTGTTGGTCAGGAATTGATGCGCTTTCAAAACCAAGCTGCACTGGATGAGCACAGGAGGGCAAGGAGCAAGGACGGCAAGGAGCAAGGACGGCAAGGAGCAGCCCCTTGAAAGGTTTGGCACAAAATTCGTGATGCATTTCAAAGAGCAGCAACTGGGCCCTCCAGTGACTCACACTTTTTGTGGTTGAAGGTTAAGAGGTGCATTACCATGACTGCCACACCAGCAAACAGAGGATTTCCGTATTCCTTTGTTACATAATCAAAATACCTAATAAGTGATGGCCTAAAGACACCCTAGTTTATTTTCTGAGCCCTGGATGGCCCCATTCTCCAGGTTTTGGGGCCAACTTGTTAATAGCTGTAATCTAGTGTCCGTGCCACTTACAAAGCAGCCAGCATTTCCACATACCAGTATTCCCAGGTGTATTCGCTTGCTATTGCTGCATAACAAATTACCACATGTGTAGGTCAGAAGTCTAGCAGTGTTTAACTGGGTTCTCTGTGTGGGATCTCACAAGGGTGAAATTAAAGTGGTGCCCAGAGTAGGCTCTTGTTTGGAAGGTGTAGAGAAGAATTCACTTTCGAGCTCCTTCAAGCTTGTTGGCAGAGCCTAGTTCCTTGTGGCTGCAGGACTGAGGTTCCAGTCTTCTTGCTGGCTGTTAGCGGGGTTGCTTTTAGCTCTTAAAATCTACTTTCAGGTCCTTCCGTCTGTCTGTCCCTCTTTATCTCTGCAGGAAACCTACCTCATTCTGAATCCCTCCTAACCTTCCGATACGCCTGACGTTCTCCTCTGCCACAGCTGGAAAACACTCTGTGCTTTTAAAAGGCTCACGTGATTAGATGAGGCCAACCTGGGGAACCCCCCACCTTAAGATCGACTGATGAATAACCTTATTTACATCTGCAAAATCACGTTGCCACGTGATGTGATCGCAGTAGCGGCATCTCACTGTGTCCACAGGTGTCGTCCTAACGTGCGGCGCCAGGCGTTCTGAGGAGGCTCAGGCCAGCCAGCCTCACCTGCCGCACCTGCTCCCTCCTCCCACCTTCACGCCCGCCCGCCGCCTCACGCCACACCGGACACGGCTTTCTCCTAATTCACAAAAAGTATAAAAAATAAATGCGTTTATGCATAGTACACCTTTACTACCAGTTTGGGTATCACCATTTTTTTTTTTTTTTTGGGACAGAGTCTCACTTGTTGCCCAGGCTAGAGTGAGTGCCGTGGCGTCAGCCTAGCTCACAGCAACCTCAAACTCCTGGGCTCAAGCGATCCTCCTGCCTCAGCCTCCCGAGTAGGTGGGACTACAGGCATGCGCCACCATGCCCGGCTAATTTTTTCTATATATATTAGTTGGCCAATTAATTTCTTTCTATTTATAGTAGAGACGGGGTCTCACTCTTGCTCAGGCTGGTCTTGAACTCCTGACCTTGAGCAATCCGCCCGTCTCGGCCTCCCAGAGAGCTAGGATTACAGGCGTGAGCCACTGCGCCCGGCCGGTATCACCATTTTATATCAGAGCATAATAAATATGAAAAATTTAGTGAATTGCAGAAATCAATAAACTTTCTTCTAGGTCAAGTTCTTAGTACCTGGCTCATGACTATCTTCTCAGGGTCTGTTTTCCTTAACCACTTCGGTGCGGCGCTCCCCGGCCGCGACACCTCGCCACGGCGGCGCTCGCAGTCCGCACGGCGGCTGCGCTGCGCGTGGACCACGAGTCCGTTCCGCTCTCGTGTGACGAGGAGAGCTGGAAAGCACTGACAGCTTGTTCTACTTTATAGGCAGCTTTACTCGTCATGTAAATCAGAATAGGTAACATAGACATATCTGTTTTCATGACGTTATTTTTAAATGTTCACAATTTTATTTTGATAAATGAAAAATTAGAATTAATTCTAATAAAAGCTATAAAAGTAAAAGCTCTTGGCTGTCGGCTAAAGTGGACGCCGGGCTGTGCGCGTCCGTCTGTGGCTGCCGACTACAGTCGAGGCGTGTACCGAAGTGGTTAAAGACCTTTTCCTCCTCCCTTTGTGCTGTAGCTACCTGTGTCTTCCTTAGAAAGTACCAGAGTTCACCCCCTGCCCCAAACCACCCACAGCTACCCAAGCACACGTCTGGAGTTTTCTTGAGCAAAAGAGGCGCCGGCCAGGTCTTCATCCTCAACAGGAGTCTCCTTCCCTGCCCTCGGCCTCCCCACCCCACCCGTCCAGCGGCCTGTGGCAAGGAGCCTTACAGGAGGTTTGTTCCAGCCGCACAGTCAGCCCTCGGCTGGCAGGCCTCTGTGTTCTCTTCCACGCGAGGAAACGCACCATCGGCCCTGACGGCGCTCGGCCAAAGGAGCACAGGCTGGAGTTCCGGCGTGCGAAAGCCTTGTGGTTGCAGCAGCCCTGGAGTCTCCTCCCTGCCCCTGGCGCCCCAGCCCGTGTTCTCAAGCGCTGCCCTGTGCCCGTGCCCGGCTCTCAGGACAAACAGTCCCTCATCTCCGCCCGAAGGCCTCTCCAGAACACACAGGGGCCTTTCTCCCTGACGCGGAGAAGGACATAAACAGACATGAGCTTCTTCTCTCTCTCCACAGTGGGGCTTTGGCGCAGTGGCTCTTCCCTGCCATGTCTCTCCGCCCATGAGGCGTCCTCAGCCCCTCGTGTGGTCCCCTGGCTGGCGGGGCCGCTCAGCAGCCTGCTGAGCACGCACGGTCATGCCTGAAGTGCTGCGAAGTGCACGGACTCCAGCAGCTCCGGCTCCACCCCACGGAGGAATTCGCGGATTGTTCCTTTCCCTTCCTTACACATAGATGTGCGTCCTTCTAATCCAGTATGTAAGTGCTTTACCAGTTTTATTGGTCAGATTTGCAATTGCCTCTTTCACTTCTGGTTTATAGGGCTGAGGTCAGAGTGTTAAGTTTTACGGGTTAAATACAAGAGACTCACTGTTCCTTCTTGTTTTTCTTGTCGTAAAGAGCTCGGTGCTGGAGGGGCAGGACTTAATGAATGGAGTCTTTAGCCCGACACCGCGCGGCACCTGCCGGCGGCGGGAGGTGAGGCCGCTGCCAACCTCCCAGCCCGCGGGGACGCGGCCTCGGCCCGGCTCGTTATCTCGCTGCCCTTTGCACTGACAGTCACTGTTCTTTAAAAAATAATCATAATAAGGTATTTTAGATCAGAATCCTTCCTCCCTATGTTTCGATTTCATCTGTGCTATCGGCCTTGAGTATCTATAACAATAGAAAAAAGCAACAGAGTTGCTCTTTTGTGCTTTTTTTTAATGGAAGCTGCAAAGATTTTACATCTTTCCATCTGACCTGCCTGTCTTATGTTAGCACCGAAACACGGGGATTTGGTTACGATTCTTGCACATAGCAGGGAGAGTAACCATGTATTTATTTCCGACGTGGAAACCGAAAACCTGCGAACTCCAGGAGTGTGTTTATGATCGTTCCTATGAGTTGGCAAGCATCGCCCCTCGCAAACGTTAAGAAATCGAATAATTCTCTTGACTTCAAGAAAATCTTTTTCTTAAGCTGTGAAATGCGACACTCCTGTGTTAGACCCTTAATGAAATACCTGGGAGAGATGTGTGGCAGACACTTTAAAAATCTTCAAGATAAAGCGGTGATATATCGAGAGACACCGTCCTTTAAATAAGTTCAGATAAACACAGCCTGCAAGACAGCTAAGGTGACGTCCCGCTCACCACCAGGTACAAAACTTATAGGACAACAGTCTTGCTTTGAGAAAATGCCTATGAAAAGTCTTTTTAACAACAAAAAAATATGTCATCATGCAAAGAAGCGTAGCATTTGATTAACAAAGCATTTGATTAACAAAAATCCCTCAAATTAAGTTTCCTCGTATTACTCCATCTCTCTCAGAATTCATATAAAACTTTATATGGGGAGCTTCTTCCATGTGACAACAGTATATTCGGTGATTCAATGTCCCCAGAACTTATGCTAAGCTAATTGCTTATGAACAAAAATAATGTCTGATTAGTGTTTTCTCTTTGCCAAGCACTGTGGTAGGTGTTCTGGGATAGATTATTTTACTTAAGCCTCACAAAACCAATTTAAAATATGTATTCATTCATTCATTCATTCATTCATTCATGTATTCATTCATTCATGCATTCATGCAGTCAACCAACATTTTATTGATCTCCTGTATTAGACACTATTCTAAACACTTAGGATAGATCAGTGAAAGAAGCAAATATCTCTGCACCCAAGGAGTTCACATTCTAGTATGGAAGAGACTAAGTATGTGATTCATAGGCATAATAAATACATAAATTATGTAATATAGTAGAGAGGCTAAATGTTATGGAATAAAATGAGAGTGAAAGAAATTTGGAGGGTAGTTTATCAGGAACAGTTTTCCTGATGAACGTAGAGGATGTGACAAGGAGGTAGAGCATAAACTATGAGAAAGATCCAGAAACTCGTGTGTTCTGAGAGCCAAATGAATACAGTAGAGCAGGAATCCCCAACCTACGGTGAATTGTATAATTATTTCATTATATATTATAATGTAATAATAATAGAAATAAAGTGCACAATAACATAATGCACTTGAATCATCCCAAAACCATCACCCCACTCATGCCAGTCAGTGGGAAAATTGTCTTCCACGAAAACAGTCCCTGGTGCCGAAAAAGTTGGGAATCACTGCAGTAGCAGTAGAGAACATCACTTAGCTCTCCACGTGGCTCAAAAATGTTGATAATTGGGTTATATTTCACAAAACTAGCAAGTGGTAGTAACTGGATTTGAAATGAGCTCTTTTGACTTCAAAGCCAAGTTTGTTTCTTCCAAACTTTGGAAGCCTAGAACACAAGCTGTAGTTGTTATAACTGTAATAAAAGATACGAACGTGAGTTACAAGAGGAAAGCTCTCTCTTGTCTGTGACAAGAAGTTCAGGCTAATTTTAGTTCAGAAAATTGAGAGCAATCCACGGAGTATAGAGAGCGATCACTGACGATTGCTTCATATGAACAAATAAAAATATGTACTTTTATCATACTTTAAGTGGTTTCTCTGTAGTGGTTTTCTGTTTATTCTATTCAAAATCAATTAAGGTATATTTTAAGAACTCTTAAAGTTGGGAAGGAGTAAATATAAAGTGTACTACATCTTTCACCTTCAGAAGAGGGGAAAGATGTAGTATACCACTTGGATGGGACATTCATTTTATTTTCAAACAAGTGAGCTCTCTAGTTGAAATACTCGCCTGAAAACAGAAAGGGACCTGGGAAGTCCTCTTGCCCAGTGTGATCTAACTGTGCCCCAGGGACTCAGCCTCCAAGGGGAGGAGATCTGAATTTTCAGGACTCTGTCTCTTCCCTATTTTAACCAAAGAATAATCACTCTTGCCTGTTTTATACACGAGACTTCCTGGTAAGATTTTCTGTGAGCAAAGGGCCTCACAAGCAAATCATACTAATTCGAACTGCCATTTTAGAGATAAGAAACTGAGGACCCAAAAGATGAGCGATAAGGTCAAGATTATGGGTGTTAAGGGCTGAACTGAAATTCAGATCTCAATAGCATGCCCCCGAGTCTAGTGTGTGCGCGCACGCGAGCAGGTGTGTGTTTGGCTACACCACGCTTCCTATCCCCTGATACAGGAGTGGAGGGATTCTAGGGTTTTTTTCTTAAGACATGCATACCAAATTCTTGCTGATGAGCAAAGTAACAGCCCTGTTTAGGTTTTAGTTAAAATCAGCTATGGAGTAATCTCAGGGGAAATGTGTACAATTTACATGAAACTAAGACTTCTGCACCTCGCTGTCTTATTAACACGGCTTTGTCCACACAGCATGGCAGAAGCCTCAAAATTCCATCTCAAAGCCTGCATGGGAAGTTCCGGGTACTGGAGGACCTAGACCAATGTACAGTCACTAGGCCTGGCCACAGGAATGGCACACTGAACTTAAGTATTAATATTGCCACTGGCTCCTCTTCAGGCTCCTGAATTCTCTCCCCTTAATTTCTCCATTCCTTCTAGAAACTCACTACTTCTGAGAGCTGGCGATTCCTGCCAATAGTAAGTAATCACTAATATTTTTTGAGTCTTATATGCTAGGCACCACTTGTTGGATTTTATATATATTCTTTATTTAAATTCACAGCAACCTTATGAGGTTAGTTTTGAAACTACTTGTAGATGAGAAATGAGGACACAGAAGCACAGTGTGAAGTCCTCTGTCCACATTCCTGACACTAATTGCAACCTGCAGCGTCTAACCGTGAAGCCTGACGTGTGTTATAATCACCATCTACTTGGGGGGACGTAAACCAGGTCTGTTCATCCTGGCCTCGTATCGTGTACTGTCTGAGTTATTCCTGTGTAGGCATAATGGTTTACTTTTTATAGACTTTTATACTTTGTCATTTTCCTTATGCATTGCATCATGAAAATGGCATAAAAATCCTCCTGCTGTATAACTCATTCCATCAAAGTCCTTCCTTGACCACAAGGCTAATCTAAGAAACTAATATGAGGGAAGTTATTAATAGTTTATAATGGGATAACTTAACAATTCCCTTACTTTGCACTCACTCCTGTATCACATTTATAAAGACCCTTTGCCTAATTCAAAACTAAATATTTGTGGAAAATGCAGGCTCTGTAATAGGATTGAGGGCGAATCTGGTTCTGACCATGCCGATCTCAAATTATATCATCTGCACAAACATCTCTGTCATTATGAAGAAAGCCATATTCTAAATGCACTCAACTCACAGACCATCCCACCGTTATCCCCTAAGAGTGCATTCCATGGTGATGCAACTGGGTGGTTTTCTGCACCTGAATGCCCTTCTTATCTACAGAGAGCTGCCACCACCCTCTCTGTGCCCTGCCATTCTTCGGGAAATGATCCTTCCTGCACTCTTAGCTCCAGGGTGTCCGCTGGGGCTGTCATGCATGTATGTGATTCTGCCTCCTCAGCCACCCAAATTGTGACTGTTGATTGACCTAAGCCACCAAATCTTGCCCTAAGAAGTTGGGATTAGGGTCCATCATGAGTCACTCTGAGTTCCAATCTGTTTACAAAGCTGAGATATATGTGCTTTGGTACCTATGAGGTCACAGTAACTGCTGTGCAGAGAACCCATGTCTGAAAAAAAAAAAATAAATGAAGTCAACTGGAAAAAAGAATCTGAAATGAGGGCACGGGCGGATTCTGGCAACCCCAAGTGCCTGAGGCCAGCCCCACGCCGGCCATCCTGCAGGCTGAAGGCGAGACACGCAGCAGCACTGCCCGGGGAGTCTCCGCTACACCCTGAGGCCTCGCGCTCAGCTCCTCGGGGAAGACTGCAGGCAGAAACTCAGGGAAATGTTTTAACATGGAAAACTCTGAGATCATCAGTTACGAGTGTGAGAGGGGAGAGGGAGAGGGGCAGCCACCCCGCTCACATCCTGAGAGCCGTGTGGCTTCTGTTCAGCAGCAATTTCTCAAGCCAGAGTAAGGCCGCAGCAGAGTCAGGCTTGCAGTCTGGCAACAGCACCGCTGTGACTGACATCGGAACCTGCGTGGTCCATGCTGGCCGCAGGGCTCAGAGAGAAGCATCCCTAGATGGTGCATGCAGAAGACCCAGTTACTAGTATCACTGAAATCATAGGAAATGCCTTAGGGTCTTTCAGAAATAATCTTGTGAAGTTTTGGGATGGAGGGTAACGGGGACAGAAGAGTGGCTTTAGTGAATGCAAACAGCACTGCACAACACAGCTTATTGAAATGAATGGGACATGTTTTCTTCTACTGAGAACTCGTATGACACAGGTTACACTAGTTTAATTTCATTTTATATTTTCGAAATATTTTCTCATGAAATTATATATATTCATGGTTTAAAAAGATCAACATGTATAGAAAGTTTCCTACATAAAAGTGTATTCTCCTCTCCCAATCTCACTTCTCAGAAATAACCACTTTTATATATTTTATTGTTTTTATTCTCTCTCTCTCTCTCTCTCTCTCTCTCTCTCTTTTTTTGAGACAGAGTCTCACTGTGTCGCCCGGGCTAGAGTGAGTGCCGTGGCGTCAGCCTAGCTCACAGCAACCTCAAACTCCTGGGCTCAAGCGATCCTCCTGCCTCAGCCTCCCGAGTAGCTGGGACTACAGGCATGAGCCACCATGTCCGCCTAAGTTTTTCTGTTTTTAGTTGTCCAGCTAATTTCTTTCTCTTTTTAGCAGAGAGGGCAGCTTGCTCTTGGTCAGGCTGGTCTCGAACTCCTGAGCTCAAACAATCCTCCCGCCTCAGCCTCCCAGATGCTAGGATTATAGGCGTGAGCCACGGCGCCTGGCCTAATTGTTTTTATTCTATATTTTAAAATAATATATTTATGCAGGTAGTTATTGATTTACCCACTTTGGACATAATTTATTGCTTTCTTGCTATGATTCTCCCTGCTTGTTCTATACTTTTTTAGTATGTAACTTGTCTATTGGTAATCTCTTAGCTTTAAATAAAATACTGAAACTGCTATTTCTTCTTCCATCATTATGGACACACCCTACTTCTTCAAATAAGGATACAAATGTCTTTAAACTTCTATTCTCTAATTTTCTTCCTGCCTCCCTCCTTGTGGCAGATTTATTGCCCCTTTAAAATGGGAAGAGGCATGAGAGAGTCTTGCAGAAATGGGTCCAGTAGAAAGGGACAGAGAATGATTTGAACAAATTTAGCAAAGTTCTCACCACTTCTAGGCTTTCACTGCAGATGAAACTGGGAAATACCATACATGTTGTTTTTGTAAGATGTGTTTATATTGGTAATTGATCATTAAAATATGGTATTACATCATTTTTAATGTCTTTGATGTTATATTTGCATAAAATATAAAATCAAAGATATAATAATTTTCTCTTATGTTAAAAACCTTGATTTCAATAACATTAGCCTTATTATGCACTTTCAAAATTTGTTTCCATTATCCTACAATATACATACGGTAGTTTCATAACACCAGTATTACTGAAGAATTAAATCACTGAATGAAATTTAACACTTATTAATAGCTCTGTGTCCCTAGAACAGATTCTGTAAAAGTGATATAATCGTAATATTATATATTACATAAAGTCACTTGAAGAAATTATTTTTTCTATAATATACCAAGTAGATACTCAGCTTCATCCATTTCAGTTCATTTTTAATTTTATGAATTGCTTCCTAAATATTTTAATTTTTGAATATGTAAAACATATATGTTTACAAGGCTGAAAATATATATAAAAGGCATATTTGGAGAATTCTAACTTTTATCCCTGTTTCCTTCCACCTGTAGGTAACCATTCTGCTTTAGTGACCCGTCTAGTGCTTCTTTCTGCAAATATACTCTAGCACACAATATTCCCACCTCCTTTTTGCATGAAAGGTGATATGTAATATATGGTGTTCTGCCCGTAGTTTGTTTCACCTAACAAACCGTGCTAGAGATCACACTGTTGCATTAGATAATGACTTTCCCTCTTTCTTTTTATACATCCTGATATTTCATCAAGAGGAGCTGGCATTATTCATTCACCACGTGTCCTACTGATGGCCACTTTGTTTCTACGTGTTTTCCTATTCAATGATCTCATAACAAGTAACTTCGCATATAAGTCATTTTATGTTTTTTCCCCCAGTGAATCTTTGGCATCAATTTTTAGAAGTGAGATTGCTAACTCTAAGAGCTGTTGTACATACCATTTTGTTAGATGTGGCCAAACTCCCTTTTATTGGGGTTGCAATTTTTGCATTATCATCAGCAACATAGTAGCATAATAGCCATTATCTCAGTCTTGGCTCACCTACCCGTATTTAATGAAGGAATTCTTCAAAGATTCTGGAGTGTGAATAGCAAGCACCCTTTCCTGGTTTCTCAGTTTTCCTCTGTTGTTATTTTCTTTAGCCATTTCGGTGAAGATCTGCAGGAAGAAGCAGGTTACTCTTGTCGAATCAGAGTCCTTCTCATTCCCAGTTCCTGGCATTCCCTTCTGACAGTGCTAAGTCAAACAAAGTAGAGGACACAGTGTTTCTATTACCCAGGGAGACCTTGTGTACCATGCAAATGCCATACAAGATCAAGTAAACATTTAGCAACACAATTGTCTTTCTTGATTGTTTACATGTGTAACCATTTTGCATGTTTTATTTACATTAAGGGTGCTCTTTGGAAAATATGTTAGTACTAAAAGCATTGGGAATAAGTTTGAGGCCAATGCTAAAAATCAGAAGTCTGAGTCAGTTCCCTTTTTGTACAATTGGCCTGGACAGAGATTTCCACCTCATTGGGAATTACTAGTGTGAAGAAAAACAGCAGAAAACCAAAACCTGCTGCTGACTTCCTCAAAGGGTAGAAATGGGATAGAGCAGAAAATTAAAACTTCAGAACTACATTCGTTCCCTTGTCTTATCATTTCTTTCATACCTTTTTAATGCTTGGCCTGCCTGAATATGTTTTCTATTTCATTTTCATTGAAGTTTTTTTTTTCCCCTCATATCATCTATACATTTCAGAGTGATCAGTCTGATTATTAATGCAAATCAGAAAATACTTTAACCTTTGTTTTATTACATATCTCAGTTGAGTTTAAATGGCACATGTGATTAAAAATTGATAAGCATTTTTAAAAGCCCAATATCAATAAAAACAAATGTAAAGCAAAGTTCCTAAGATTTACATAATTTTATGACTAATTTTGCCAAAATTTTATTTTTTTCTCAATTGTAGAGATTTTGAGTTGTGAGGGAGTTTAGAGATTGACTGTCCCTGAAACTCATTTAGAGATAAGAAAATTATGTGTCAGAGAAGATTCTGGAAGAAGATCAGCCTGACTTGTATCAGATAAGTAGTTCATGGTAAGACTAGACTGAAGCACAAATTTCTCAATTTCTTAATCCAATGTTTTTACCATGAAATCTTGAGACATTTATTAGTTTTTGCCGCTTATCGCCGTTGCTATTGTTAATAGGAGGAAATGAAAGAGTAAATGATTATTCCACTTTGGTGTTGTAGGGGACTAGTTTGAGGCCAAGTGGTCTCCTGTACTGTGATTCAGATGACTCTGGTCAAGTCTTCCCAGGAATCTATGGTATAAAGAATCCACAAACTTCCTTGTAGGCAGGTGCTTGGCGTGGCTCCACTTTATGGATTTATACTTTATTACCTGGATAAATAGAATGACTTTGTTAAATCTTTGTATGATACGGGAAAAAATGCAGTTCCTTGGTACCATTTTACCAATGTTAAACTGAAAAACAAAACAAAACACAGCGGTCTCCTAATTCCCTGCACGGAGCAGCTCTGGCAGTTGGCATCAGCACTGCAGGGTGGGGGGCCCAGAGTGACAGAACTTGGCAGCCACGTTGCTGTCACCGAAGAGATGCTCCGTCAGCGGGAGAGCGTGCTGGCTGGCGTGACAGCACGCAGCCAAAAGAACAGCGGCGCTGGGTGGGAACGGTTCTAATGCAAAAGAAAGGAGACGTGGAAGAAAGCGGCTGGTGCAGTGCACGGGTGGACCGGGTTTGTGAATCCCCTGGGACCTCTCGGAAACACTCTGGGCCAGGTGGAGACAGGGAGGGGTCTGGAGATGGAGGCTCTGCTGTATTGAGGGGGGAGGTTTTCGTGGGAATAATTCCATATTTTATATGCACCCGGTGTTCATGCTTGTTTTGTAGCAGCCCAATGTTGTGGATGAGCTATGTAAAGGGTCTTTCTCCTGTCATTACATAATCACAGCAAAAATCCTAAGATAGTTATTTTTATTTAATCAATATAACCAGAATTTTTACTAAAAATGGGACAGAGAAGATACAGGTGATTTTTGTACTTTGAGCTTATCCACTCTTTGAAAGTGCCAAATTGATAGAAGCAGAATACTGTTATAAAGACATCGTATCTCTTCCTGAATCATGTCACGGAGAACAAAAAAAAAAAAGACATCACATCTCAATTATTTTTTCTTTTATTGATCCCTAAACCATTGCTCCTGAAATCACCTAAACTTTCTCTTATGTATATTACATATAAGAGATGCTAGATGCTGATTGCTGTAGAAAATCACATTTTAATAAAAAATGTAGCAAGGGAAGTGGAAAGGAACGAAGTATTAATAGTAGAGTAAAGAGGTACATCTGGAGATTTGAAATTCAAAGCAGTGACCGTGACATAAGATGGGCAGACTGCTTGGCGAGCCAGCCAGCTCGCTCCGCGGCCGCTTGCTGCTGTGTAACAAGCCACCCCAAAGCCCAGCAGCTTAAACGAGCGGAGACTTCTTACACACAACTTACCTCACGATTTCTGGGCGGCAGCCACCTGATGAGGGTTGGCTGGGGTCCTCTCAGCTCAGGCTCACTCACAGGTCTGTAATCAAGGGCTCGGGTCGGGCTTCAGTCACCCCAAGGTTTGAGCAGGGAGGCTCTGCTTGCAAGCTCGCTCGCGTGGCTGCTGTGGGCCTCTGTCCCTTGCTATATGCACCCCTGCGCAAGCCTGCTTCGTGACACGGCACCTGGCTGTCCCCACAGAGAGAGGCCCAGGAAAAAGCAAAAGAGGACAACCAAGACAGAAACCAGTTCTTGTTGGTAACCTAATCTTGGAAGGGACGCCATGGCCTCTGCTGCTTTCTGTTCCTTAGGATTAACTCAGCATCCAGCCCACACTAGAGGAGGGGACCACGCCAGAGTCCACACAGCAGATGAGGATCCTTGGGCCCGTCTTAGGGGCTGCCAACCGCAGTCTCTATGACAGCGCTTTGGATCACAGGTTAAACATGTTTATGAGTTATTGGTCAGTTTGAGATTTGGGCACCTTACCCTTTATCTCCCCTGATAACTCTCGTTCTCTTTTGTTGTTGAAATCATCTGGATTTATTGGAATCTTTTGTTTTTAATTCCATTATCTCTCTTCTGGGCAATAATAATTGCCTCTTAAATGGTGTGTAAACAGTTCAACTAGTAAACCCCTTGGCTCATCATTCACACTATACCCAGGGTGATTTGTTAGCAACACACATGAGATCATCTACTACCCTGCAACCATTGCTCACATCCATTGTTTTAAGGTCCTTCACTGGTTTCCTGTTGCTCTCAGGACAGTAGACCGAAATTGTTAAGCATGGCTGATACATGCTTGTGTGACCGGTCACAGCCCTGACCTCAAGTAACAGCTGTCTCCCTGGAGGGTATGCTCCAGCCGCATGATATGGGTCCTTAGTCTGCCTTTCTTCTTCCAGGATCGAGTGTCTACACAGGTAAGTTTCTCTGCCTGGGATGCTCTCTGCCTACCTTCCCTAACTCCATACCCCGCTTCTCCACCTGTTATCTTTTACATCTGTAAATGCCAACCTGTCCACTCCAGCAGTACTTGCCTGGCAGGTATCAAAACCAAATTTCATCACAACTACCTCTAACCAGTTGTGGTTGAGCTCTAACCGGCTCATAAAAGACCATGACCTTGGCACACCAAACCTTTACTAGACCTAACTGAGAACTCTTTACTGATCAATAGTTTTACCCAACCATATGTAGAACTTGCACCCATTCAGCTGATCCAGAGAGCTAGTTTTCAATCCTTACTTAGCACATTACCAAGAATACCCTTGCTTGGCACTAAAAAATCTGCACATTTTCCCTGTGGGTGAATGTCTTGGTGAATTTCTTCACTGGTACATGTTCCCTTGATGTGCAAGTTAATATGACTGAGCTTTGATTTATTTTTTGAATTTTTTTTCAGATCCTGTGGTCTTCCTTTTATTCTCTAGCTCTTGTCTTTAGAGCCCTCTGGTTGTCTAACGGCGCGATCGATATCTTCTGCCGCTAGATTTCAAGATCCCAGCAGTAGTGACTGTGTTTGCACTTACCATGGTATCTTCCCCGACACTCAGCAAAATGCCAGTATGGGTTCCCAGTACATATTTGTTGAATGAATGAGTAAATAACTTTCGATTTTTATGACCTTGTACTCAAAACCAGGAAAGAACATATTGTAAACTTATTTATTTCTTTTCTGGTGATGTAGATCTTACATTTTTGGACAATGGCTGCCATTTTTGACTTGCTAGAGATGAATCGATCTTAATTGCTATGCTAGTACGTGTTTACCGGTTGCAAAAGGGCTTCAATGACTTGGAGAAAGCCTACCTCTCCTCCCGTCTCTTGTGACGCTGCCAGCCATGTGCTTGGCCAGCTGTGCAGCACTGGCCGTGTGCACAGAAGTGCTTTTCTGAAAAGCACAGGTGATCACGTTGCGTCCTGAAGCATGAGATCTGATTACTCTTGTTATAGTAGCCTGAAAAGTTACAAATGTCATTAGTCATCGTTAAATTACTCTGCCTGGCTTTCTGCAAGGAGCTCTGGCATTTAACTCGGCAATCTCTCATAGCTGTGAATTCCACCATTCGAACGTCCGTTTTCACGGAGCTGCACATTCACTGACAGACTCGATGTGCTGGTGCTCTAAAAGTGACTCTCAGTAATGAGAACAGAACCCGAACCTGAGAATTCTGATGGAGATTGTGGAAATCCAAGTCTTAAAGTTAAGTGTGTGTGCGTATTGGCATGCTCAGATTGTCTTCTCCACCTCATCCACTACCCTTCTATTTTGCTGTGTTCAAGCAATTTAATTCTGCATCTAATTTTAATCTGTAAACCATATCCCTTCCTGCAGTTGTGAAGCATGTGTTAGCACTTAACCAGCAGGAGAGGGTTGCCTAAGGTAAGAGGATTGATAGCGTAAACCAGGCATCTTAAAAATGGCTTTGTGTGATTTGGCGCCACTCGTGAAAGCTTTATGTTCGCGGGTCCAAGCTGTCTGTCCAGGGCTTAGGGAGACTCAGGCAGTGAACACAGTGAAATCTTTTATTTCTGCTGCGTGGTGTTGATTTTTCAGGAATATGTGCATGCGGAGGGCCTGTTTAAAGAACTCTAAACATATTCACAATCTGCTTTCTTAGAGGGAGCAGGAAGAATGAGTGAATTTATCTAAAGAGGGTGGGAGGTGACTTGAAAATATGATGAAGACCCTTTGAAATTGTATTGGATTGTGATGGCATCAAGTACAGTAAAAGAAAGGATGGTAAAAGCATAAATATGGTTGTTACATAAATGCTATCTCTTCGTACTAGCTATATATTACAGTCATAGAAATGAAGAAAAAACAGTTTATATCTAGAAGTTGTTCTTACCTTAAAGTTAAAGGGAAAGTTGGGTTTTAAAGTCAGCACTTAGCATAACAATCATATACAGCTAAAAAAGCTTTGAAAATCCTTCCGACACCTGTAGAGTTTAAACCAATCACTTCATTTTGGTCAGTGGTGGAGGAAAAATTAAAATCTTTTCCAAAACCTTTCAATCATTATTTTCTTACATCACCTCTTCAGGCTTAATTGTATTCCTTGTTTAATGTAAGCAAGGCCACCCCTCAATGGTGAAGTTCTGAGGATAAATACTATATTTCATTTACTCTAAGATTCATCTTTTTCACATTTTAACATCTCTGAAATTGAGACATGTCCTATAATTGATGGCATTTTAAAATTAGAATGGTCAGGGTTCCTTCTTCCTTCCTTCCTCCCTCCCTCCTTGCCTTCCTCTTCTTCTTCATACAATGATGGTTTGTCTTGTCACTAATGGTTTCTTAGATTTGAAGAAATTGGTATGGCAAAGAGATATCTATAGTCTTATGTTCATTTCAGCATTATTCACAACAACTAAGCCAGGGAAGGAAACTAAGTGTCCATGGATGAATAGGTGAAGAAAATGTGGTATACACTTACACAACAGAATACTATGCAACCTTTAAAAAAGAAGAAAACTCTGTCATTCTCAACAACATGGATAGAACTGGAAGATGCTATCTCGTGTGAAGTAGGACAGGCACAGAAAGGCAAATGCTTGTGATCACACTTACATATAAAATCTAAAAAATATCAGTCTCATAGAAACAGAGCAGAAAGAAGCTGGGGGATAGGGAAGGATGGGGAAAGGAAGATGTTGATCAAAGGATGGAAAGTTTAGGTTAGGCTGGAAGAATAGGTATTAGTGATCTATTGAACTATAGGAAGATCACAGTCAATAATAATATGTTGTATATTTCAAAATTGCTAAAAAAATAGGTTTTTAGTGTTTTCATCACAAAAAATAATAAGTTGGTGAGGTGGTGGGTATGTTTATTAGCTTGATGTAATCTTTCTACAATGTATACATAAACCAAAACATCACTTTGTACCCCAATAACACATACAATTATTATTTGTCAATTAAAATGAATGAATAAATACATAAGACAAAATCCTAGAGATAGACTTATTGATTCAAACTTTATAAGCATTTTTTAAATTCTTGATAAAGATTGCCAATTTGTTTTCATAAAGTTTACATCAGTTCATACTTTCATGAGCATTGTATGGTTTTGATGTCAAAGAACACACACTCGTCCTAGCTAAAAAATAAAGCAGGGTGTATTTCAAGCCATCGAAAGTCTAATAGACATCCAAAACAGACATCAAAAACCAGAGCAAAGATAGCTGGGAAGATGAGTGTTGGGCCTGTACCTTTGTGGACTAAAGCTACTTCATCCATCTCTCAGGGAATTGCAAAACATCTCGGGCCTGTTTTGTATTTCTGCTCTTCACTAATCACCTTCTGCTTCTTGCTGACATATAAACAAAGTGAAATGTTAAGCTACCCCAGATCTTCATGGCATTATACATTTTGTACACAGCCACTACCTCCTGAAGACCTAGTATATTTTAGCTCAGATTGCTAAGAATGAAAATTTGAGGGTCTCAGCCAAGCCTCTGGATTGGTTCCCTTTGCAACAGCTGTGAGCCTCTGATCCAATCAGCCCATAGCTGGGAGGAGGTGAGGTCCCAAGTGCAAAAGCAAAAGGAGACGTGAGTATCAGTAGAAGCTAAAGGCAATCATGTCTAGTAAACTATGAGAAGATTCATGTTAGTATCACTAGATTCTCTGTCATTTTCTCCATCAGTTAGCTTTACGAAAGATCAATTAGATTTCATTGTTTCCAATTTGAATTTTCATGAGTAAAGCAGCATTTTACATCGTGGATGTATCATTCATTGGCATTTCTTCTGTGACTACTCTGTTTATGGCCACTGCTCATTTATCTGAGTTGGTAATTTTTTTCTCACCACTTTTTCATATTAAAATATTTAAAATTTTATATAGTAAGTGAATTAATCATTTGTGTTATTAATTGCTCACATTCTTTTCCATTGTGCCCTCTGCCTTTTTATTATAGGATTACTTTTGACATGCTACAGTTTGAAGTTTAATGTAGTCAAATCTTTCCATTCTTTTCTTTTTTCTTTTTGCTTTGATTGTGTTAATATTGAAAAAATTTCCACCATTTCAAGGTTAATCTTCAACTACCTTTATTCTAGGAAATTTTTACAAATTATATTTAATTCCTTAATGTACTTAAATAAATCTTGTGAGATTATGTGAGGTTCCAGATAAGATTTCATTTCTTTCTCATTTAGCTAATATTCACAATACTTTTCTACCAGAACAATTCATCTACTGAACATTTTAAGACATTTTATTCAAGATGCACTGAAGGATTTCAAAATGTGATTCGATTTTTACAAATATTTTATTTTTCAAATACTGTGGAGAAAATATTGAACAGATGGCAGGCTGGTGGTTGATAGAGAATTAGTTAGGAGACTAATGGAAGAGTAGGAGTAAAAATTATTTATTTCTGAACTAAGGTAGTAGAAGTACACAGAAAACTTGGAAACTTAGCAAGATGATAGAAGTGAGCATCTTTAAGATTTTGTGATTATATGTGCAGGAAAAACTAGAACTCAAGAAGCCGGAGTATGAGATGGCTTCAAGATTTATGGCTTTTGTTGCTAAGTAAATCAAGGATGTCATCACCTGGGAAAAGCTGACGAATCAGCTGCTGTCATGGATACGTTTGGGTCTATGGAAGAGCAGGAGACAGATATTTAGTTTTGGGATATCTATCCTGGAGATAAAGACTTGAGTCATCAGCAGCATCTAAGCCGATGTAAACATCATTCATGTGCCTGAGATTCCTTCAAAGATCATAAGGTCTGAGAAGACATAAAAGCCAAAAAGCCAAGGATGTGTCTCACAAGAATACTAGCATTGCAAGATTAAGCAGATTAAGAAGTGCTCTTTAAAGAAAAAGAAAAAGACGTCACTTTCACAAAAACAGAAATCCAAATCAGAGTAGGGTCACAAAAGTCCGCGGAGAACGGAGTTTAGCAAGAAGTGGGCGGTACTGCCAGAGACCGAGGGGAGTTCAAAGAGGATAGCTGGCAGCAAAGCGCGGCCAGCGTCTGGCAGCGTGGAGCTCACTGGCGGTTTTTGGTGAAGACCAGCTTCTGTGAAATGATGCCCTGCGCAAGTGGGGAAGAGGGACGGTCGAACAGAAGCAGCCAGATCACAGCTATCTGAGGTGAAACGGGAAAGCAACAAATATAGACAGTGCTGCAGGAGTCCACACAGTGTTTCCACGATCTTAGAGTTTAAAGAGAAGGAGAGAAGTGGGGTAAGCAGCTAGAGGATGAGGCAAGTACAGAAAAGATTTTTCTTAGATTTCTTTTGTTTTCTGTTTGAGAAGAGAGAAAGCTGAACCTTGTTACCTATGACATAGAAAGAGCCGCATGGGGGAAGGGAGAGGACATGGCGGGGCAGGCGGGGATGCCTGAGGGGCAGCAGTCTGCACACTCGTGGGCTGTAAACAAGAGGGCGGAGGGAGCAGTGGTCAGAAGGACCAAGGCTTCCCAATGAGTGCAAGTCAGTTCACCTGTGGAAAGGGGCGAGGGGCAGCCGAGGAAGGAGGTCAACACCTGGGCTGACTACTAGGAAGGGGACGTCTGCAGTGGGAGCTGAAGGTCGATGGGATTGGAAAGGTCAAGGAACAGAAGAAAGGACAATGTATGTGATGAATTTTTCTCAATGCACATTGAAGCCTTCCAGGTACTCCCAACATAAACGTTCTAGAAATATCTTATTACTATATATATGATAATATAACTGCCGTTATCATTACAAATGGAAAACTTAAAACCGATGTGACCCAATTCAATTATAAATGGTCCCTATAAAAATAGAGAGCCAAACTACGAAAAACAATGATATATCTATATAATAGCCTTTTACTTAAAAGTCAGATGAATAAAAATGAGGCAATTAATGTGCCATGGTTATAAATCCAACAATGCAGATCAGGTTTGGGGAAGGAGAAACACGAATAAAGTGGGCAAAATTTTAATTTAAAGTTGAAACTTAATTAGGAAAATCATTCTACTATATGACTATAATAGTTACATAGTTATTTGTGTATATTTTCTTCCTTCCTTGGCAAATTCCACAGTGAGAGAAAACATTGTTTCAGTGAATCCTCACCCAGAGAAGCAGAGAGAGAACATTGACTGGTGTTTATATCCTAATTTGGCTAGTAAATCTAACAAAAAGTGTAGAGGATGGATGTTTTTTAAGTGTTACTGTGATTGTTGCAAAACTGTGAGTGCCAATGGTGTGGGTGCTGACATCCTCCTTCAAATCTTCCTTCCTCCCACGGCAGGAAGCTGTGCTAACCCAGACGGTCATGTTATACATTCTACGAACAAAGTAGTTTACCTTCTCTAAAAGAAATTTATAACATGCAGACATGTAGAGAAGTATTATCCGTGTTGAACGTCGTGCCTTTTTCATGGAAATCTGATTACATAATATAAATTGTATAAATAAACCCGAAGGCTCTGACAAATTGAATCAAAGTAAGAAACAATGTTGCTACTTTGCATCTTTCAAAGATGGGATATCTGTTGATCGTGACAGTAAAAATCGGGGCCACAGTTGCATTCATTGTTCAGTGAGCTTGTCCACACAGCTCAACCCACCGACAGCAATGAATGTTGATTGTGACCTTTTAAAAAATAATCTCTGCACAGGGAAGAGAAGTGTCCTTCTTTGGGTTCCTGTCTTCAGCGAATTCTGAGCGCCATGGAGTAGATGACGGTTAGCCATAGGGTACAATCAACGGTCGATGGTTTTGATTTTAATTCCAAACTCACCGACAGCGTTGAATGTTCACTGAAGCAACCTTGAAACTCAGAATTCTGCTGACTTTACAGTATCTGTAAGTACCTGAAGAGGGTGAGAGACAGAAACAAAAGAGTACCTTTAGTCCCACATTTTTATGCATTTTAAGCCATTTCAAAAGAATAAGAAAGAGAGAAAGAATAACCGTGATTTTTTCCAAGCAAGGGTTTGGCAAACCTCCACATCACATCGTATGAGAGAAAAGGATCTGTTTCATTGATCTGATTCAAAATGCCTATCTTGGCTTAGCTCCAGAGATGGAATTATCTCACTGTTAAAGACAGGGAGAATTTGTTATTCGAAGTAGTTTGAGGTATCAAATCAAAACAATATCTCATAATTTAAATATTGCTATGCTATAGTTGGTAAACCCGATGTATTTCGATTATACAAAAACGAAACAGAATTCTCTTAGATTTCCTCAAACTAAACTAATGCCAATGCTACTCTTTTGTATTGAAATTACATATTTAATACATTTCATCCTAAAATTGAGTTTTAAAATTAGTATCATATCCTGAGAATATTCTTATTTAGAAAATACTGAACAAATTATAAATGGAGAAACCAGCTCAATCCATTTCTCTTACTTTATGGCACTAAGATTTTATTAATCTGTGAAGGGTAAATGTGATCTATATAAACTACAAAACCATTCATTTCCAATTGTTTTGAACAGATTTGTAACTCTTAATACCTTTGTATGGGTGGATAGATGGGAAATTCTTCCCATATGCCTTTTTTCTAAGAGTGTTTTGTGATTAACACTTATTTGTAAATTATATTGAATTCTATTGAATTTATTTTTAGAACCATCTTCAATAATTTTCTATCAACAACTAAAACAAAAGTCACTTTGGATGCATCAGAAGCAGGATAGAAATTCACTATTTAATCTGCTTAACCTGCATCCAACATGGTTATACAGTAATAATTGGTGGATAAAACAAATCACAATAATTTGGAATATTCCTTTGAAAGTAACCATGGTCTATTTAAGCCAAGGCAATTGTTTCTGAAATATTAGTGAAATATGTACCTCAAACTTTTACACACTCTGATATTTACTCACTTAGAATATTTTAAAGCCAGTAATTGTTTAATGCCTTCTGAAAAGATTTTTTACATGGAAACTTTTTCTAACACACTTTTCTTTTGGGGGTGGTGAAAAACAGGATTACTGATCTACTGGAAGTATGTTTTGAGGTGAAAAATAGGCATAGAATATAAAACAGTGATTAATCTGACTTTTGCTGTGTTTAATTCTTTTGAAATAAGCAGATTTTCCCCACAGAACAACATGCTTTACAAGAATGCTTTATCAGTTGGCATTTCTGTGTTGCTGCCGGAAGGAATATTACCCTGGGACTGAGGACCCATTTGTTTGCATTATCAATTTCAGCGGAAGGCATATCACTCCTGCTCTGCTGCTTGCCCATTGTGTTATTAGTGTCAGGTCAATATGCAACCATTGTCAATCATGCCTCTTCATCTCTTGCTTCATCTGCTAACATTTGTATACCAGGGATGCTGTGATAAAAGACTCTAAACCGTGTGTTTTGTCTTAATACAAAATACGCATTTGGCCTATCAATAAGCACAGCTCTAGTCAGTTGCAATTAATTGCAATGCACAACTATGTTATTTTTTGTTTTCTAAGGTATTCTCCTAGAAGTCCTTCGCAGAATACAATTAACTTAAACCTAAAATTCTTGAATTTTTAAAATTAAAACGTGCAATATATTAACTTAAATGTTAAAATCCTTAAAAATCTTACAATAATTTGATTATAACAATAGAAATTACATTAGATGTCTTGCCATTTACACATAAAATAGCAGTAGTAAATACAGTCATTAAATTTTCTTCTTTCCCTGCACTAAATTAGATGCATGTTTCACATAGACATAGTTTGTTGAAAATTAAACCTCACCTCTGAACAGTTTAAATTTCCCACAATGGAAAATAGGATCTCTGTGTGTTTACCTGCACTTATCCTAGTGTCAGAGAAGAGAATAAACTTCAGGGCTCTGTATTCTGAATTATTTTTGTCCCATTCAGAAAACTTGTTCTACTTGGTGGTTCAACTTAATTTTTTTGCTACTTCATGTGAGCTTTCAATCACTGTCTTATATTTTTTAACCCTATATATTCTATATTTTTATAACTCAATACTTAGCTATAAATCCTTTATTTTTAACATATTGAGATTTCATAGTACTGAGACTTTGCATTTTCTGTAAGAAAGTGTGCAGAGTTTTATTTTAGAACACACTGTTCATAATTCCAGAATTCTAAACTGGTGGTCGCAATCTGCATTCTTGAATAATTTTCCTTGTATGAAAAGAGCCACAAGCAATAGGTGATTTACGGATGAATCTCCTTCTATCCCCTTTTCCCTAATTTTGGAGGGTCGTGCGGGCAGGAGAAAACAAACCTGCGCCCAGACCAGATTTATCGTAGCTTTTATTTCTCATCCTTAGGCGTGTGGGAGCATTAAGTATTTTCAGTGTTGCTTAAGGTTAGTAGGTCATAAATAAACCAAAGCAACTTCTTTGCTTTGAGCAAGAGGGTCACGGAATACATGAAATGCCACTTTTAAACCAAAGCAAACCCTAACTCGAATTGACAGAGACACATAAAAAGTAGTGCAATGTGCCTCCGTAAAAAGCCATGGGGACTTGGGGTGCTGAAGTTGTCTGTTTTAGGAATAGATTATATATCGTGTTTGACGATCTGTGTTTAATTTAAGTGACTTCCCCTGCCAGCCCTTCCAGAGGGCGAGCGTGTGAAACAGAGCGTCTCCACGTCAGGCCCCGTCCTCCCCGCCTGGCGCCGTGACCCAGATTGAGTGGGCGCTGATGGGGCAGAGGAGGCGAGGGCCTTCGCTGCTGCCACGTGCATTTCGTCCTTAACTCTGGTTATTTGAAAATTCAAGGAGCAGCACGTATCTACAGATTTATAGTTTAATCAGTTTTATTTTCTGTCCACAGAAGTCAATCTATTCAAAACATAAGAAGTGGAAAAAAAAAATATTACATTAAAAAAAAATGCCATTGCTTCTCCTTGCTCCTCCAAAGGAAATAACACTATCTCTGAAACCCATCATAAATAAAATTTATGGAGGAGGAGAAGGAACAGGGGGAGGAGGTCACTAGTATTTGGGGGTCCCAAGACCCCTTTCTGACATCTATTTCCATTTTCTTTGAAGATTGCTTCCTCTGCTCAGAAGATAGAATCTCGTGAAATGTTTCAACATTAGCACTTTTACCTTCCCAGTTACACGGTGAAAGGGCTCGTTCCAGAAATGCTCATTCTGGGTAATTATAATCGTAATTATTGGTGCTTCTGGCTCCTTCAATAGAAAGAGCAAAAGCAGGAAAGAGGTCAGAGACTGATTAAATGCAGTCGAGAGCCAAGTTGAGCACTTGGACATGGTTCTCCACTGAGAAAGAAGAAAAATCAGGGCAAGGCATCAAAGCTTGGCTCAGATGAGACGTCTTTTACTCCTGAAATCCTGGCACCCTGGAGGGGACTATAATTTTGTTTTCCAATAGCTTTGTAATTGCTGATAGCCCTTACTCCTGTTGACAGCAAAGAGCCTGAGAAGTTTCTGTTTCTCCTTCCCAGAAAACTGTGGGAATGATTCTACATGACTCACTTTTTTTTTCCCTTTACATTACTCAGTTTGTAAAACGCCCTATGAATTTGCTTTGGAGAAGGAAAGAATTTCCAGCACAGCCTTTGCACTATTTGGCAAGGCTACCAGAGATTTAAAATAATTAATTTATTTAAAATATACATATGAGCTGGATATACAAGGTGGAAACCCACCTTGTATATTTGTTACAAAATAGGCTATGAGTGATTTAAAAATATTTTCCACAGAAAAATCCATCCAATTGATGCATATTGACCACTGAAAACTTGAAAAGCACCTTTAAGCTCTGAACAGAGTTAGAAATCTACTGACTACTCATCTTTGTGGTTTGTTTTTGTAAGCATTCACAGACAAAAGTATTTGTTGTTTAAAAATTGTATATAAGCTCAAATATTTATAAAGTTTAATCTAATAGAAAAAGTTAAAAAAGAACCATCAGAATTCCAACATGAATTTCACTTTTAACAATGACTTATTAATTACTGATAGTGATATTAACTGTTGATTCCTTTGCTTATTTTACTTTAATTCAATTAACAACTTATTATTATATGTTGGATTAAAGCATTTTTTTTCAGTAGAGAGTGTATACATACAAACTATCTCTGTATGTGTTTTCTATGCATATGAATTGCAGCGAATTAAAAGGTGTACTTTATTGGGCATCGTAATGTAATAACTAAAGAAAGAGCAATAGAACTAAGTCAGTGAACCCAGGATCTGCCACTCATGGGCTTCATTACTGAACCACTATGAATTTTACTTTCCTGGATAAAATCTGGATATACTTTGACTAGTGTTTAAATATTGTTGTATTTTTTAAAATGTATCAATCTTCACATTTTTTATTATCATTACCTATGCTAGCTCAATACATTACTGAATAATCCTTTATCATAGATATTCTGTAGGGGATAGCATGACACTCATTATTTAAGGGGCAATAGTTACATCTAGGTCTCCTATGATTCCAGTGCTGCTTCCCTCCAAAAACACCTGTTTTTCCACTTTTAAAATGAAATAATAAAAAAAAGGATTAAGTTGTTTTGCTAACTAGCCTCAAGATATATCAATTTTTTTCTTAATGCACAATAACATTCCCAGTAAGATGCAGCACTCTGCTGCGTGGCTTTCTTACCTGGTAGGTGGTAGTGACTGACAGGCAGGAAGAGCTCTTCCAAGACACGTAGCTCTAGAGAGGATTGATGTGTACTTAAAAGTTATAATTAATCTTAAACTCTCCTAAAGTTAGGAACCGTTGATTAACCTAATGCATCCCTGTCTTAACCTTCAACACTAATACAGAGTATGATGGCTACAGTGTATTCAGGATAATTATTTCTGATCACCTTTCAAAACAATTTCTTGTCCTTGAGTTTATGCCACAAGCAATCTTCAATCAAACCAGTATGCTTTGGACTCTACATAGAATTAGACCAGTGTTTAAATATTGTTTTATGTTCATAAATTTATGAATCTTCATGTTTTTTAGTATTTTGAGGTTTATTTATTGGAAAACTATTTGTGTTTGTTTTGAAATGTAGGTTTCTTCCTGGAGAAAAAAAAAAGATGATGACAAAAACAATATATATATTACTACATTTTCCAAAACCCTTGAACTTACTGTAGATAAGTTATATTGGTCTGTTGAAACTATTTTTTATGAATAATGAATCATTTAAAGAATGAATTTACAATACAGTTTTTTTTGATAAAAATTTTTTTTTGATAGCAAAAGGCACAATGATGGCGTGAGATTTAGAGTGAACTGATTATAATGAACAATTTGTGTCATAGTTGAAGCTAGAATTTTCTTTTTCATAGTGAAGATCCATCTTGTCAATAGTATAACCCCATGACTTCCACAAACTGTGCCAATGCCACGGTGAGCAGTGTTTATTTTTAGCAAAGAAATAGAGTGCCCTTGATCCAAGACTTCGTACTAATGGTTGATTAATCCCTCAGTTTGGAAAGGATAGACATGCTAACTGCTATTCAAAATAATCTAAAATTAATCCCAAGTAAACTACTACGATATCAGTAACAAAATTTGTCTCATTGTGTTATTATTAATAAGGTAAATTAATATTGGAAAATTAAGAGTAATATGTGTGTCAGAGTAAGTAAGCATTTTTCTGAGAAAATATTTTTTTCTGGGAAAACATTGACATAATGGGACTTCAATATGAAAAGACAAAGGCACCTTGCTTATACAAACTGTTAAAATTTGCCAGGGCGTGGGGGACCCCAAATGCATAATTAAAAACAAACAAACAAAATATATGCTAGGCTTTTTTATTTTTCAGGTGAAACAACACAATATTATTTTAATATTTTATCATGTTACATTATAAGATGACTGCTTATAATTGTATTTTTAGAATATTGATAACATCTTTCAGATTTTCTATGTTCCATTCAAAATTCAGTCTATAATGTAGAGTCTCCCAAGCTTTTTGACTGCATTCCTTATTATGTTGTTAGAATACCTTACTATTTTTGGAAGATATTGTGATGTATTCCTGGCTTCATAAATTATACAAGCATCTGTTCTTTCAATCAACAGGACACCAAATGTTTTTTACATCAATCTGTGTGAAACAATGTATATAATACTATTTTATTTCCCACGAGCTTTTAGTAAGCACTGACTTTGTAGTAAAAAAAAAAAAGTTTGAGTAATTAAGATGGTGGAAGAAGGATGAAAAATAGTAAGCAAAAATGTATTACAAAAATCCCTGGGAATTTTTAAAGAAGAATTTATGATATAAAACTAGTTGCAAAGCCTTTTGGGGTTCTACACTACATAGTAATTTTTAAACCAATTAGCAGAACCTGACAAATTTTAAGTACAAAGCTGCATCTCTATTAAAAGGTAATTTCTTATGACTTTAATATTATATAAAATTTGGAAAATATGAAAATTTATAAAATTTTAATACTGAATTCTGTATACATTACATGGATTGTAGTTTGTGTCACCAAAATTGCCTTTATAAGAATTTTTCTTCTAAGGATGAATAATCTAAATAGACTTGGACATGCAAGAAGAGCTTCTAAACCCTCCCTGATGTAACCAGCATGTTACTGTGCTCTCTCCACGGGTGACTTGTGGGCTGAGAAAGGATTACAGCCAAAAGCCAAGACTACGTAACAGTTAAATATTTTATTTCTCAATAAATCCTATGAAAATGAAATACCTTGGCTTAAGTTACTCATCAGATATGTACCATTATGACATGTTTGGATTAATTGTTTAAAGAATTTGTGCATTGATTTTCAACTCAATGAATTTAGATTTATGCATTGATAAATGATCTCTTCTAGTCCTGAAATTCTGTAATTTTTATACTTTCTATTCTATTTTTTATTCTCCTAAGATAAAGAGAATAATTCTAGAGAGTTTAATTACTATTTCTTCTATTCTACATTTTAAAAGAACAAACAGGCAAAAATCCAATATTTAGTTAACAATTCATAGTACTTTTTCCTTTTAAAAATATTAATAGATCAGTTTATTCCTTGAACAATAGGATCATGTGATCACTTGATTCACTGAAATCATAATTAAGGAAAGAAAAGACAAAAGACTTCATTCAAAGATTACCGTATGTTTCTACCAAAGTAAAGATGTTCCTTATTAAATGTGTAGCAATAATCCAGATATTTTAGCAGTTTCAAACTATTCATTACATTTTTTACAACTTTTTCTTCTCCAAAAACGTTACTTGAGAATTCTTTGTTAAAATGTTTCTATACATAGATAGTCAAAGAGAAATAAACGAGAAAGTGATTTTAAGTAAGAAAGTTTTCCTCCATCCAATTTTCAAATCTTCACTATTGGGCTGCTTTCCTTTTACTTTTACATATTTACAGAAAATTAAATGACTTAAATTTTCAAAAAGTGCCATATGATAAACGACAGTCTATCGGAGATAAAGGTAAATCATCTTTGACATGTTTAGGTAAGTATGGAAAACCGTGATTTGACTTAAGTGATCTTTATGAATTTATTACCTACAACCCTGAAATTCCGACCCCCTCCCACCACCTTTAGTCCAGCCAAAAAACACCTAGTTTCTTGTAAAGATGATAAAATTGTGTCATACTTTTTAAAAGTATTCTTTTTGGACTAGCACCCTCTTCTCCTGTGTTGGTCATAAATGATTATTGGAAGTTAATGCAGAGGAAAACTGATACAATGACTCATTTGCAGAACTGTTTTCAACAATTTATTTACCATTAATAATACAGTGGCTTTATAGTTTATATTTTTTTTAATCAGTGAGAGTATTATCCAGATAATCTTATATCAAAATCAATTTAGGTGCTTATTTTAACATCTCTTCTGAAACTCCAATTAAATATACTAATCTTCCCAGTTTCCTGTCTTAAAACTAAGTTTTTAGTGTTGCCTGAAAGCTTTAAACAGCTGCAGCATTCCAACCATGAAGCTAATGCTTCTTAGTGATGAATGGATTATACACATGCAAATATAGTTAAGTTTCTTCTGCTAAAAGGTCTATAAATGCATAGATTTTTAAAAATAAGCTTAGTTGTCAAAAACTTTCAGACATAAAAATACAAATATGCCCATAAGTGCCTTAAATACTTTATGGAAAAAGTGATGATTACTGTATAAATAAACAAACACATCATGCAGCCATAAGATGAAGACAGAAATATTTATTCTATGAAAATATTGAATTACGTACTCAAATTGGCACAGAGACTAAAAATATTGAATAATTTGGGACAAGCCATCAGATAGGGACAGAATTCTGTGGTTACTCTCCATGTCGTTTATATCTTTCTATGTCTATAATGTATTAGCTTCTATTCTTAACACTTTTTTGTCTCTTAATTATTAACTAAGGATCTTTCTTTTCCAATATTGTACAAGAATACAATATTAATCATGTTCCATATTTGTATCCTGAGACTTATGTCCACTTGCTATTTCCTGACTTTTAAAATGAGGGGAGAATGGGATAGTGTAATAAATTAAGGACAAATGCACCAAGAGGATATAGAATTCTAGTTTCAGTACCAGTATAGTTTTCTCTGCGAAATATTTTCTAAAAATGAACAAAAGTTACACCAATAATTTTATCAAAGTTTCTCTTTTTTGGTCTGTCTCCTCAGCAGACAGTGAGATCCATGGACTCAGAGAATATTCCTTAGTCATCTGTAGATCCTGAATACCTAACGTGTTTTCTGGAATACAGTAAGTGCTCATATGTGCTTGTTGCCTCTTCCTTGATTCCCTAGTACACATCAGTGTCTAGCTTTTCAATCAGACTCAGTCTGTTTCTCCTCTACTCCCCAATTACCTGACTCCATTTGGGGCACCATGTGTCTGACTGTACTAGAATCTAAAATCTGAGTCACAAACCTAATCATCTTCACAGGTTCAAACAGAAAAGTTTAAACAGGTTTGATGCTCATCAGAGAACTCAGCCACCTCCAGAATCATTGAAATATAGCAACTCATAGGACCAAATTTCAGACAAATAATGCTGTCTTGTTCTTCAGAAAAAGTACCTTACTAAATTAAGAATTTTACTCTTTTGTGCAAAAGGACCATGTATTTCCTTCTAATGATAAAAGCAAAATTATCATATTTTAAAATTTGAATTTTTAAACTTTTATTGTCCTTAAAATACTTTTAGAGAGACTGTATGCTTCTTCCAATAATATTTTCATATTTTAAAACATTTCTATATTATCTCTGTTGATTAAGACATGTAAAGTACAATAATTTCGGGCCCATGCAAAACAATATTCATTAACTGTTTCTAGTTTTATTTAGTGAAAAAAGGCTCGTAGGAACAGCAGAAAAGGCAGTAAAATGCTCTTGTTAGACCTCCTTAGAATGAATTTATCTACTTCTGTTCTTACTCTAACATGTCTTTGGTAGTGAGTTTCACCTCTACCCAGGTATCCAAATATCTTAACCACATACTACTTTCTTATTGAGGTACATTTTGGTAAAAAATTATTTTCTTGTCTCATTACTTTTTTAGTATGCTCTCTAGCAGGGTGCTTAGGACTAGATATCCAGCTACTCTGGGTCTATTCACTGAAATGACCTTCCCTGGCACTTCATTTAGCACAGATGAAAATCAGTCTGAGTTTTTATAATTCTTGTGAACCAATCTGATCAGCTATTTCATGCACTAAACTTTGCAACAATACGATTTTTTCAGCTATTCTTGAAAATGAAATCAGTCTCAAAGGATGCAGAGCTAGTTGTCTTTGAGTGCCTTTAAAGAGTGGGAATAAAAAATAAGTGGGATTGGACTTAAAGACAATTAAAAAAACCTTGTGATTGGTGGAAGACTCCTTGGCTTATGGTGGCATCTTTCAAGGCAGTTAACTCTGAGGGGCAAATGGTGCACAGACGTATGTGCTATAGGGATATGTTTATCAAAAGTTCAGTCACATTAACGGAGGGAGGAAAGGAAGGGAAAAAAAGATAGAAGGAAGGGAGGGAGGGAGGGAGGAAGGGGAGAGAGAGAGAAAGAAAGAAAGAGAAAGAGAAGGAGAAAGAGAAAGACTAAGAGAAAGGAAGGTAGGAAGAGAGGGAAGGAAAGAAGAAAGAAATATTGATATTTGTAAAAGAACTCAGCAAATTGAAAATTGGTTCCACAGCCACTTTAAAAAAAAACACTCAAAGACTTCTTTACTAATAGTTAAGATGCTGCCAATTATAATGTTCTTAAGAGAAAATGTTCTAGCATTCTTGAATTTTTTAATTGAAATAATGACTAGAAGATATTTTCCCCAAAAGATACTATTAGAAAGAGCATTAAAAATAACGGAAAATAATTTAGAGTCTTCTTTTTCCAACATTTCTTTTGCTTTTATTAAATTCAGTGTATATCAATGTCTAAAAGTTGATAATCATTCTATTGCCATGTGATATCTTGTTTTGAGACACCTATTTATACTGCAATCTGTGGCTGTCATATTGTGCCTAAAATTGCTCATCTTAATGCTGTATTAGATTTTTCCTTATTGTTCAAAAGAAGAAACTCTGACCAGTAAACAACAAATAGAATTATATAGTCACCTAAAAGGCTAAGCAGCCTCCAAATATTTATAGTTTCAAACCTATTGACTGATTTGAACAATCCTATTAGTTTCTCCCCATACCTAATACTTAACTACAGGGAAGGCATATTTTTCATAATGAGATTTACAGAAAAATCCTGTCATTCTGGAGAGAGCACTATAAAAAATATTATGCTTCAGTCTATTTTTAGTTTTTATTTTGGGGCAAAAAAAAAAAGATTTTTGGCAATAGCATTTCAAACTCCCCTCTTTTTTTTTTTCATTTTCAGGATAACAAAAATCACTTAATAAATGGAGGTTTTTAACCTAAATATTTATTTAAAAATATTTTTTTCACATTTGCAATTCTACGTTCTGCCCAGTTTTGTTAAGACCTTCCAAATGATACAAAAGTTTGCAAATATATAATGATTTAAAAGCCACCACAAAAGCACACCATTCTGTGGACCAAAACTACAATACTGGATCTGTAATGAACAAAGTTAGCTTTATGAAATATCGTTCAGTAAGTACTTTTTTAAGTTATCATGGTTTTTTCATACTATAATGAAAACATTTGAGGGCATTCAGGGAAATATTATCATTTCTTTTGGATAAAAATATTATAATCAAAAAGCTAAAAACATCTATTGGAGAGAAAGATACCAACAATTAAGCTCTCATTTCTATTATGGAAAATAGCTTACGGCATACTGTGGAGGCAAAGGCCAGGGGCTCGATTTTCTTCTGCCTTTAAATATAACTTTTGACTTTTGCTAAAGCTAACACTATAATGAAAGTACAATTTTTGCAAGCCTCTATGGTTACCAAAGATATCTTATTGGAATGGACAGTAAAAATTTAAAATTAGATGTACATCCATCATCACAAATTTGGAATAACTTGGGTGAAATAATGGAATTAAAATATACATAGCATACTGAGAAATTCAAAACAGATGTCTCCTAAAATTCAGTATATTTACATGCTTTTAAATAGCATATCTTTCCAAAATATGACATTTCTTATTTAGGATAATTTGTGTGAAACTATGGGATAATAGGGCTGGAAGAGGGAGAATACATTTTATTCAAAGTGCTACATTTGATAAAACTACATAAGATGGAGTCTTTACAATTATCCCAAGTGTGACAGAATGTTTCTATTTGAAGGAATATATGAGTGAATCAAGTTTAATGATTTGCTTTAAGCTGACTTATTTTAATACTTCTGCACATGTACTATAGTATATTTGCTCAGCCTTTATTCTTTGGTTCTTATATTTTTAAAGATTTCAGAGACTAGTACATGAAAATATACACCAGGGCTGTTTTTAAGTATTTTTTTTTTTTTATCTGAAGGAATAAGGCTGAATTTGGAGGCTGCATCAATCATCTAACTTCATGGCTTTATAGTTTGATTTAGAATTCTCAGCAGAGTTTGTTCAGATAGTTGTTATAAACCTTGGAAACATAAAGTCTTCAGGAATCTAAAGTTCAACTTTCCAAGTAGGAACAACCCATTTTTTCCTTAGCTTTAGAAGCAAACATGGCAACCAAATGCTCCACTTCTATTGCTAATTTAGAAATTGCACACCAAAGCCCCAAATACAAATAAATAAAATATTTTTCTGTCATTGCAACTTCCATGTAATGCTACCCTTGCTTCAATTTTTCTTAGTAAAATGAAACAAGAAAGAAAGAGAGAGAGAGAAAGGGAGGGAGGGAGGAAGGGATGGGTGGGAGTGGGGAGGATGAGGGAGGGAAGGAAGGAAGGAGAGAAAGAGAGAAAGAAGGAGAGTGAGAGGAAAGAGAGTGAGGGAGGAAAGGAAGGGAAAAAAGGATGGAAGGAATAAAAGAAGGAAGGAAGGGATGGAGGGAGGAAGGGGGGAGAGGGAGAAAGAAAGAGAAGGAGAAATAGAAAGACTAAGAAAAAGGAAGGAAAGAAGAGAGAGAGGGAGGGTGGGAGGAAAGGGGAAGAAGGGAGAGACCAAAGGAAGAGAAAGAAGGAAGGAAGAAAAGAAAGGAGGGAGGAAGGAAGGAATGGAGGAAGGAGAAAGAGAAAGAAAGAGAGAGAAAGGAATGAAGGAAAGAAGGGAAATAGGGAGGGTGGAAGGCTGGAAGGAAGGAGAAAGGGAGAGAGAAAGAAAGAGAGAGAAAGGAAGGAAAGAAGACAGGGAGGGAGGAAGGAAAGGAGGGAGGGCGGGCGGGAGGGAAGCAGAAGGTTTCTGAACGGGCGGGCGTGGAGCCACCATGACAGATGGCCATGGTTACAGGCAGCAGGGAGAAGCCCGTACACATCGAGGGACATGAGGGATGAAGGGAGACTGATTTGGAACCACCTGAACCACCTTTATCTTTCCTGAGATTCATTTCCTGCATTAGTCGAGAGAATATTTACCAGTGAATGGAGATGCAGTTATTGAATGGAATCTTTCTTTTGTTCTTTGATTTCAACAATGGCCCTTTTTGAGTTTCTATACCTGAGCTGAGTTAGAATCAACTCTTTTGCATTATTCCTATACTCTTACAGAGTTTTATATTTGGACAGTTAGATAGTAAATAGATGCCCAATCAGCTAACAGGTTGCATTTATAGTCAAATACATACTATTCAACAGCAGCTTTATTTTAAGAAAACAGGAAACAAACAAACAAAAATCTTTTAAAATTGCTTCTTTTTGTTTTTTTTTGTGAAACTGAAAATTATACAAGTCTATGTTTTAATTTCATAGAATGTCAACATGAGGGGTAGATACCTAATAAAGGCTGTGCTATACTTTAGGCACGGCTTTGATTATAGATTATTAGCTGAAAATGAGTATAAATTTGGATTTTTTTCTCATTTAGTTAAAAACACAAATATACACACTGTCTGATAAAAGGAAATCTTAAGAAGTAACTCTAAAATAATAATTATCTCATCAAGTAATGGTGAAAAGTTATTCAAACTAATTCTATTCATTTTATTATAAAACATATTCTACCTAAGATGATACTTCCTATCACAATATATTAGTACTCAAATTTCTAGTTGTTTTTTTTTTTTGGATTTTCACCACTCAATCTAATTGAGTCACTTTATTTTGTAAAAGAGGAAATGATGACTTAGAAAATGTAAGTGACTTGCGTGAAATACTATAAAAATGTAAAGACAGAGCAAGGAGTTAGTGCGTGATCAGGGGTCTTGTCAAATAACCATTTCCTCCTCTGTCAGGTGCTCGGGGAATGTCGTGGGTCGAGCTGAAAGTCTCTTCCCAACACTTAAGACTGTAATTATTGCTCTGTTGTTCTATTTTTTTATTCATTTTATGAGTTTGTTTTTATTTTGCTTCAGTTCAGAGATAATACCTAGAGTTTTATAATATTTCATTGCAACAATGTAACGATACATGACAATATACACACCATGTTTCATGACAATACATACTTACTGCCCTAATTATTTTTCTCTCTTTCATTTTTTTTGTTTTTTTAACAAATCCATTCAGGAGTCTAAAATTCCTAGGTCTGTAAGATCAGTGTCATACTAGCACACAGGGAAAGCGAACATCTCCACCCAGCCCTTCCCTCCCATCCCCCACAGAGCCACCGGCAAATACATTTGATCTAAAAATGTCATAAAACATAAATGTCCAATCATTTTTTTTCTGAAGAGCAAGAATGCTTAATAGATTTTTTCTTTGTTATTTTTCTCTGGGACAATGTATTGAAAGCTTTATACTTTGCAATTTAAAAAGCTTATTAACTCTTAAATCTCTGGCTATTTTTCTTCCTTCCTCCTCTTTCCTTCTTCTTCTTCAAAGAAATAGCTTATTTTTCAATATTTGAAATGGATGAGGGCAAAACAAGATGTGGCTATAGAAGAAAGATTTACCTGTAGAAGTATACGTCAGATCTTAAAATTGCATTTTTTCAGTATCTTCCCGTTATTGAATTGATACCCTAAACAAATGTAACAAAGTTCAGGTTCTGTTGGATTTATGTGAGAAGATACTTAACATATTTTGAACAGGGCCTGGCCCCCTGTCCACATCTGCGCCACAGTGCGGGCCCTGTGCTTGCCACTGCAATGAAAGAATCATTCTATTTTGTTATCTTTTGATGAGACGATTTAGGCCATAGATTTCTCTGAAATAAATGAAGTTCTAGGTGACAAGTAGGGTTTTTTTGTTTGTTTGTTGGTTGGTTGGTTGGTTGGTTGGTTGGTTGGTTTATATGTTTTCTTTTTTAAATGCACAATTCCTTGTAATTTCCCTGTATCACCATATGAAGTAAAAGGAAAATAATTAGAAAAGTTGAGATAGAATACATTTTTTTCTTTCTAGGTGAAGAATAAGCCAAGGTAGGAGCCATTTCCCATGCATGGGAAGCACAGAACAGCCACACTGGAGCAGGAGAACTGGCAGCAATTGCAGGATGGCAGCCGCTGGCCCTGTTTGTTGCTTTTAATTAGCCGGGAGGCCTGGGCTGGCGTGCTCGTCCGCCAGGGTGCTTTAGCTTCAGGCTTCTTTGCCTTGGGAGGAAGCAGAATCAGGGCCCCTGGGCACAGCACTCGGCACGGTGCTGGGATTTTAGAAAGCAGGTGTAACCCAGAGAGGCGGTCTGGGGTGGGCTTGTTTCTCCTGGGGGATATTCCGAGGGGCTCTCAGCAATTTGCAGTGCTACGGTGACAGTTTTCGGTGACACAGCCAACGGCCAGGGCAAGTCACCTGCACTAGGCTGGGCATTGTCCCCGACCCGCATTGCTCCCAAGGAGGGCTCAGCCCATAGACCAGGGACAGAAAGTCGTCTCGCGGACGCCTGGGTGCAGGAGAGCCTGAAGGGCCATGGTCCGCTGCGCTGGGCATTTGCTGGACACGTGGTCACAGCTGGAAAACACGCGGCCCTCGCGCAGGCCCCAGCGCCTGAATTATAGAGCAGCGATTAATTAGGGCGGCCAAATTTCAAAGTAGTGAAATAATGGACAAGTTTTGGGAACGAATGGGATTAATTTATAATGTGTAAGAGGCAGTCTGCCCAGTCAGTGTGCCCTTTGGACAAGGAAAATAATTAAAAGCCTACATATTCCACCAACGCTGTGTGAATTTTTTTTTCAATCAATTTCTATAACTCTTTTTGGGACTAATGTGCTTTTTAACTTGACAAATAAAATCTATTAAATGTGTTAGATGTTCACTGTTACACAAAGAATTGAACTGAATGATGAAACATAAGCATGGCCTCTCGTTTGAAAACTCCCAGACACATTCTGAGTCTTTTAAGAACACACTTTGCTCTTTCTCTGGCAAGGTTGAAGGGGAGTCCCTCCTGTTACACTGAAATGGTTCTCACCTCAACAGTGAGGTGATCACCTCAGCAGTGCCAGGGAATTTGAAAGTTTTCTCTTCGAACATGCCGTTGCATTTATTGAAAATTCCAGAGAATGTGCTGAATGTAGAAAATAAATAATAGAAAACCACAATTGATAAACTATATAATAAAGCACAATCTTTAATATTACCATCCCCTTTCTTGCTTAGAATAGATATAAACATATGACAAATTAAGATTGTGACTATCAACAATAATAGATAATTTCCTCCATGGGGGTATATTTTTAAGAGGTCAAATGACCTGGCTAGAAATGTTGTGATGTGTTTGTGAGATCAAACAGTAGCTTGAAATAAATACATTCTGTGGCAGGAAACTATTGTTATTTCATTGACTGATTATTTCATAAAATTCAGCCATATATTATAAGACTATACTATGAGTGCAGAAAAATTCATAGCACAGATTAGGACTAAAATATTTCAGGTTTCAAGTGGGACTGCTTCGTGTGATAAGCCTTTTAAAAAATAAGACTATAATCCATCTTTTTCTTAGTCTTTACATACTTTCTTAAGTAAAACTTTCCACAGGTCTCTTTCTAACTTCTATGTGTGTTTTTGTTGTTATCATAAAGCATATGGATAGGGAAGGAAATTGTGTTAATTTCTCTTTTAGTTTTTTCATTGTCCTTATTTGTATCTTATCATTATGAATTGACCTATGGTATATAATAAATAGTTTCCACTGAATACTTGTGCACATGTCTGATATTCTGCCACATGCTCTCTCTTCAATGCCTCTAAACACCTCAATTTGGTAGATAGTCACATTAGGAAATCCAAAGTCCTCACCAGGGCTTACATGAATGATCTGAACTCTTTCTCTCATTCCTTTCCTATCTCTCCTCTCTTCATTCACTTTGCTCCAGTCACAAGTGCTTCCTTGCCATTAGCAGAACCTGCCAAGTATGAATGTGCCTCAGGGCCTTTGCACATGCTGTTTTCTCTGTCTGGAATGCACCGTGACGCATTTTGCTCACTTCATTCATGTCTCTAGTCAACATTTTCCTTCTTAAAGAGGTTTCCCTCACCATGCTATGTAAAACAGCACCCTAGTCACTATCCTTGACCACTTACTCTGTTTTATTTTTGCTTAATTGCAAATATCACCATAGGACCTTAAACTAGATATTAACACAGTCCTTTAGGAAATAGGTAACAAACACCTGCTACATGCCAGGTACTGTTCTCAGATCTTGGGATATAATAGAGAGCAGAATAGAAAAATGTCCCAGCCCTCCTGAAGTTTACATGTTAGTGAGAACAGTGACACATAAACGAGACAAATAAGAAAACATATGTGGTGTGTTGGACAGTAATAAAGACTGATGATGAAAAAATAATAGAGCAGGAAAAGGACTATGAACTGCGAGAAGGGTGGGATTGAAATTTAAAGTAGGTAGCCAGTGAAGACGACTTTTAAATAAGAATTCAAAGGATGAGAGGGAGTGAACTCTTCAAACATGTCTAGGAAGAAAATTCCAGAAAGGCGGAACACACACTAAGGGCTGCAATCAGGAAAAGACTGGTATCATTAGTTAATCTGTCCCTGACCACTAGAATGAAGCAGGGATTTTATTTGTGTGGTTTACTACTGTATCCTTACAGCCAAGAACAGAAATCTCTGAATAAGTATGTTTGAATGCATTAAATAAATTATTCTCAGTTGACAAATGAGAAAATCGAGGCACAACATTTAAATATCCAGGTAGTAAGTAGTGGGTGTAAGATTTGAACCAAAAAAAAAAAAAAAAAATTTAAAAACAATCTAACTGTACAGTCTGTGTTCTAATCACTATTCTCTGCTGCTACAGCAGCTCCCAGTTCTCTATAAAAGTAAGAACACACAATGTGTAGACGCAGTAGCTGAACTGGAAATCAGAAAAGACTATGAACAGAAGGAGAAAAAAAGGAGCTATTCTGGTTACCTGTTTACATTCCCAACTTTCATTTAGACTCAGAAAGGCTAACACATTTTCCAAGGTTAAGTCCGGAGTCGTCTGAATCACAGGCTGTCGTGGTCAGCACTGCAGAGACTGGCAAGAGACCGAGACTTAGTCTTGGCCTGTCCGGTATTACCCTGCGACTTTGGGCAGTCTCCTCTCTCTGTGCCTCAGTTTCCTTAGCTACAAAGTGAAAAGGTCGGGCTAGATAACCCCTAAATATTCCACTGTTTCTCCTGGTATGTTTTCTCTAAGTATTAAGTTCCTGGAAATACTTTGGAAAGTTCTGAACAGTTCTTATCTACTGAGGAGATGAGCAGAAATTATCTCTGAAGAGAAACAGACAGAGGCATTCCAGGAAAAAGGGTTATAAAGAGAAGCCAACTGGGCCTAAAAGTCCATGTGTTAGGGAAAGAGCACATAAGTATTAGACCGATGCGTCTGGAAAACTTACTTAGACGAGAGGAAAGGAGCATGTTTGAAGGTACTATGTTTTCCAGGCTCAGCATATAAAAGATCTTCAACACCGTGGTAAGGAGTTTGGACCCTATTCTGTGGGTGGCAGAAAGAATCCACAGTTTCTGTGCAGAGTTACCAGAGTTGTATATATTTCATAGATCAGTGACACATCTACAGCATGGGCTACAGTAAAAATTAATCAGTTTCTTATTTTAAAATACTTTCTTTGGCATGAATTCTACAAGGCAAGGCAGAGAAGGAAGAGACAGCGCTTTAAAAAGTTATGGGAATGAGTTGCAAAGATGTAAAAACAACATTCCTCCTTTCTGCTTTCTGACCTGTACAGGATAGACTATAAGGCATGTGCTCCGTGTTCTCATGCGGCTCCTCACACAGTGGCAGGCAGCGTCAGATAGACACCACGGAAACTTCCTTCTCAATCACCTGGCAGTGTATACGGCGTAAGAGTTAAAAGGAAGATTCTAAATTGAATGTGATCAATTTTAGAATTTTTAAGACTGTGTACATCCCATGGCAATTGCAGAAAAGAGTTGTAGGATTTCTGTAAGTACTTGGTTCAGTAGTCAAGAAATTAAAGAACAATAAAAGCTGCTTACAGAGAGCCCCCTGCCCCCCACACATTTATTTTTTCCTTCCCTTCTTTTCCTCCTCCTTCGCCTCCTCCTCCTCCTCCCTCTCACTTATGGTTTTCAGCAGCCATCTGTGTGAGAATCTCAGGAAACGTCCTTCAGAGCCTGCGACTCACCAGTCATCGCGCAGCATTGCACTTCTCGGTGACTCACACATTGGGTAACCCATGTGCACCCTTCACTTTTAACTGGAGATTGGGTTTTTCTCCCAGAGTCGTTCAATATAATTCGCATGGCCATTAGCATATGAGTGCATCTACAATAGAGGCCATACAAAAATTAATACATAGTTTTCAGCAATAGCCTATAAAATGTGGTAAGAAAATATAATAGAAATCCAGTTCAGAAGAGATAAGTCAAAAAGAAAAAAAATGCAAAGCACAGATACAACAAAGTATAGATGTGTCTGGGTTTTGACCATATTAGGAAATTCCAGATACTTTCAAATCTAAACTTTTAAGTTAATTCATACTAAATCAATGAATTTAGTTAAATTTAAATTTAACTAAGCCAAGTTTCCAACATAATGAAGAATGACCTAATTCTAGAAATGACTATAATGTCTATCAACATACCATATTCAAAGATGAAATTCATTGTGTATGATAGTGATTGTTTCTAAAAAGCAAAGGAACTATTGCTCTGATGGCTTTGATTTATATGTATTTATATACATAAACATATGTCACGTCTATATTTCAGTAACATACATGCGTATATATTTTAAAAATATCATTGCCTCCCTTTAAGTAGTAAATTTTTAAGAAGTGGAAAACAAGTCAATTACAAGCTTTGTTTTCCCCTTTCCAAACGGCTCCTCACACTTTCTAAGCAATGACAACCACTGAACCCCCATATCTCCTTATGTTGTTCCTTTTCTTTCTCTGATTACTTGATTACCATTCATATTTTCACAGCCTTCTTTAACTCACCAATCGTCATCATATTTTAGAATACATGTCTTAGTTACCTTCAAATTGTTTACATTTTTAAAACACCCTGAGTCTCACTATTCACGTACCTTCGTGCAGTAAGTACTTGGAGGTGAGAAGTATCGCTATAAAGGAATGGCCACTTCACAAACTTTAAAGAAATTGATTCTGATAATCAGAATGCGGCTCTTCTAAAATAAATGACTGTATCAGCAGTCAATGGCAGGCTTTTTGCAAAGTTGACATCTGAGAGATAACTATTTCTACTTTGTGTAGATAAACCTATGCGATTAGTTTATCTGTGGTAAAGAAAAATACATTTTATTCATTTAAATGAGAAAAAATGAGGACAAATGATCAGTCTCCTTTGGAAATGAAACTATGTTATACTTGTAACTCAGAACATTTGCATTTTTAAATTAGTGTTTATATCAAAACTATGAGCCTAGGTATGTTTCTGTTTTTCTCTAGTGAACTCTATTTTGCTTACACCTGAAAATATTTGAGTGTTATTTCCAACCTTTACCAACCAAATATTTTGTTCTTTATTTTAGCCTAAGTAGTAATTAAGCTGTCTTCTGTTTTACACTAATGAAATCAAAATATGGCAGAAGTGAAGTCAATTGGATGAAAGCAAAATTGACCTAATGATTTATGCTCCAGGAGACGGGGACTATGTGAGCATTGATAAGGGCTTGTTATAGCATAGGAATCACAGCTGAGGTTAGTATACAGATTTTTCTAGTTGGTAATGAAGTCCAGGGGTTGCAGAGGCAATAACAAACACTCTTGTAATAACAGGAATGCAATACTGTACCTGTTTTCTTAATAGAAATAAACCTAAGAAAGTATAGGTCTGGATTTTTTTGGAAGCATCATTTATATTTTATGAATTATTTACTATGTACATTATGAATTATTTATTTCACAGTTCCATATTTTAAAATTAACAGCACTTTTTCTCACTTTTTTCTGGAAAAGAATTACAATGAAAGAAGCAAAGATATTTTGATGAAGTAATTAGAGGGTGAAATATTCGGGCTACATAAAGAGAAAGGTAAATTCATTACACCTGTGCTTGTTCATTTTCACATAACTGTGTGACATGAAACTGGATTAATCCAAAGAATAATGAATAATTACCTTTTGGAGTTTTCCCCTTGTGTTAATGTACAAATGATATTTCTATTCACTAAAATACTAAAATTCAAAAACAGCTAAGTTACAAACAACGCTGATGATAATTATTAAACTTTTTCAGGCATAAGTAGCACTCTAGAAGATACTGTAGCATATTATTATCTAGATTTACTTATCAAGGTGAGCTTAGGTGGTAACCTCTAAGTGACTGCACCTATGCCATTCCTATCATATCAGGGTCAGGACTGGTGGGATTTTATATAAGCTTAAAAATAGTTTTATTAATACAAAATCATCAATCCTCTATGTCTATATTTAAGGAAATTTCTTACAAGAATTCTTTTTAAGTGCAATGAGCCTAAGGTCCAGATGATTGAGAACTGTTCCCAAGCGCAACAGATCTAAAATATCATGCTGGTTCTCCTGATAAAAGAAATATGGTATAGGGCAAGTCACACACTTCACCTAATTTTTTAAAAAATGCATTCAGTATACATAAATTGGACTTTATCTTTTGGGAAAAAAATATAGTAGATTAACTTCAGCAAAAACCCATGGTAGCCATCAGTTGTATCGGTTATGGGAAAAAAGTATCAATACAAAAACAGAAGACCTGAATGTTTACAATACCATTTATCAGCTATGAAATCCTAAAAAATAATTGAACCTCTGAGAGATCTGTTTCTTGTGAGAAAAAGAACAGCTGCCAACTCTGCAATCTATTTCATGGTGTTTTGGTGAGGATTAGTTTAGCTAAGGTGGGTCAGAATCTATAATGCTTCAAATGTGATTTGATACCAGGAAGAGCCAAGTTGGAGGTTTGACTTTGCCACTTTGTAATTGAAGGACATTATATGCTTAACTTCTTGAAATCTATTTGCTCCCCTGTAAAATGGTCAAGAAAGGGTTATCCCAGCCTGACTGGCTATTTATCTAGATATCTGGCTATTAACTTATCTATCAATTAATCATCACATTGTGAGTGCTGGCAAATATTAATAAAGTGTAATAAAGTATTTTTCAGGTTCATATTCAAATGTAAGCCATTATTAATGGAAGTAGCATGGAAAAATTGTATTTATAAAATGTGCCCTTTGTATTAGCAACTTCATGTCACAGGTAAAATTCTCAAACAATTTCATATTGTTGAAGTTAGTATAGCAATTGGATATTAATATCAAATTTTCATTTTTAGAATAAATAAATGCATTCAAGTAACAGAAAAATGTTGTAAAGGAAAAAATATGAAAAGTGTAGTGTCTCTATCCTTTCTTTTGCCAATCTAAAGAAAATATTCTCAGTTTTCTTTTAACACCTAGGTCAGAAACTGCTTTATGGGAGTTCTTAAAGATCTTAACATCTCTAAAAAGAATTGAAAGCAAAGACTTAAAAAGATATTTATACACTTGTGTTCATAGCAGCATTATTCACAATAATCAAAAGTTGGAAGCAACATGCCTTCTGCTCATCCGTGGGTGAATGGACAAACTAAATGTGGCATTTACATACAATGGCATATTATTCAGTTTTAAGGAAGAATATTCTGCTACAACATGGACCAAATGCAAAGACATTATGTAACATGAAATAAGCCATTTACAATAGGGCAAGTACTGTGTGGTTACACTTATATGAAGTAACTGGAGTAGGTAAAATCATAAAGACAGAAAGTAGAATGGTGGTTGTGAGGGTCTGAGGGAGGTGGAAGGGGAATTATTGTGTAATGAATCTGGAGTTTCAGCTTGGGAAGGTGAGAAAGTTCTAGAGATGGATGGTGGTGATGGCTGTGCAATGATGTGAACGTACTTAACACCCTGAACTATACCCTTAAAATGGTTAAAATGGTAAATTTTATGTTATGCACATTTTACCACAATGAAAAATAATCTTCCTATCTAATAATTTTCTGTACATTAATCTGCTTCCTTATACTTAGGATGGTAATTATAATCTTCATGTTTTGGTGTTCATAGTCAATATTTCCAAATGTAATTTGAAAAGGATATGGGCAAGGAAATAAAATTCGTCGTTTTTACATTGCCTGAAGCCTCTAATTTTAATCATTTTCCAAGTTTAAAATAAATGCACTTAATCCGTAATAAGATAATCAAAACAGTTTCTGGCTTTGCTTCCTTCTCTGGATAATGGATTTAGATAGAATGATGAATTGATTGATTTAACAAGGGCAGGTATTTTATAAAACCACTCAAGTAGCTACTTATAAATGGAATTGATGCTTATGCACAAATATTAATAGTACTTGCACAAATGATGAAAGTATTAGAAAATGTTTAGGTCTTTTAAAGGAAGGCTTGCCCAGTTTCATATCATATCATTTTCCATTTACATGTATTAGAGTTTTTAAAGTTTACTTTTCACATGTATACCCTTAATCCATCTGGAAACCTTATGATTCAGAAATTCCTATTCTAGTACACACCTTACAGCATTTCTTGCCCATGTGCACTAAGAGACATATAAAAGAATGTTTACTGCAACAGCTTGTATAATTGGGAGGCAGGTAACAACTTAAATGTCAAAGGAGAGGACAAAAAAATAAATTGAGGATATTTATGTAATGGAATTCTATACTGCAATGAACTACAGAAACATGTAACCATTAAGTAACAATGTATATGACAACTGGAAACATAATTTTGTGTGGAAAAATCTGGCCCTAGTACGAATATGTACAAAATGTCATAATTTTTGTAAAGCTCAAAGCAAGCAAAGCTATCATATATATGAAAAGGGAATCCCACAGCTCAGTAAAGCGCCAAGCCACTTGAGAAAATGTGTATAGGTGATGCGCTACACACTTCAAGAGCATCATTCATATCATGCCTGTACAGAAGTCTGTAAAGTGCACACCCTGCACAACTGCACGTGGAGACCTGGATAATAGTAACTTCTGAGGGAGAGAGGAAGGCATGTGACGAGTACAGAGGTTGCTTTGTCAATTTTGGTGCTGCTGTAGTTCTTAAACTGGGGAGTAGATTTGTAAGTGTTCATGCTATTGCATATAATCTTTTGCACTTATTGATAATAAACTCCAAGAAATAATTCTTGGATATATCCTAGTGGTGTCGGGCAGAAGAGAGTGGGGATAGAAAATTGACTGTTTTCCATGCATAGAGAATTTTTTTCCTACTCTATTCTTTTGTCCCTGAAAGCCACTGTTCTT